ACACGTGCAAGTTCTAATACTGGAGATTGAACTTAGGGCTGAAGTACTATCCATTAGCTTTTCACTCAAGGCTGGTGCTGTACCACTTGAAACAAAGTTCTGTTTTTGCCTTTTTGCTGATTAATTGGAAATAAAAGTCTCACAGACTTTTCTGCCCAAGCTGGCTTCCAACCATGATCCTCAGATCTCAGCCTCCTGAGTAGCCATTTTTTTATTCCTTTTTTGGTGGTGCTGGGGTTTATACTGACAACCATGATCATATAGGCAAGTGCTCTAACATTTTAGAGGGATCAGTCTAGCTCTTTTTTCTAAAGGGTAGATTTTAAGTAGAATAGAAGAAATAAAACCAGTTTTATCTAGACAAAATCTAGGTAAAGATAGCTTAGGACTGCACCATCAATGATAATTGTCAGCAGAGATGCAAACCAAGGTTATACTACAATATAAAACAATGTTAAAGGAAAAATGTAAAGAGATGTCTCAGTAGTAGAACCTAGCATATACAAGACCCTATGTTATATCCCAGCACCTTAGAAAAAAGAAAACCACCACCATCACCAAAAAGAGCTCAAATAAAATAGTAATAAAGGACAGTAACAAAACAGTTTCTGTCTTTTCCCATATTCCCCCTACTACATTGTTTCAGCAATGCAGAATTTTATGTAACTATCTTGGCTTCTGGAGAGGAGGGTGTGGTTCAAGTAATAGAACCTACTTGCCCTAGCAGGCAGAAAGCTCAGTATCACAAGTAAATAAATAACAAATAAACAAAAAGGGAAATTACAGATATTTGGGACTACAGATAAGGATGTGTGTGTGTGTGTGTGTGTGTGTGTGTGTGTGTGTGTGTGTGTGTGTGCCAAAACTGGGGCTTGAACTCAGGGTCTCTTACCTCTCAAGGTTGGTGTTCTACCACTTGAGCTACAGCTCCACTTCTCGGTTAATTGGAAATAAGAATCTCATGGAGGGCCTAGGAAGGTGGCTCAGTGGTAGAGTGCTTGTCTTGCATGCATGAGGCCCTGGGTTCAATTCCTTAGCACCACATATGCAAAAAGAAAAAAGCCGGAAGTGGCACTGTGGCTCAAGTGGTAGAGCACTAGCCTTGAGCTGAAGAGCTGAAGGACAGCGCCCAGGCCCAGAGTTCAGGCCCCACAACCGGACCCACCCTCCCCTCCAAAAAAAAGAATCTCATGGAAATTTCTGCCCAGGTTGACTTCAAACCTCAATCCTCAGATCTCAGCCTCCTGAATACTAGTACAATGAGTGTGAGTAACTAACACCATGCTAGTATATTTAAACATGCATGTATGCGCACACACACATGCGCACACACACACACACACACACACACACACACACACACATATCACCTCTGGGGCTGGAACTCTGGATTCTGCTTTCTCAGCTTTTCAAACAGGGCTGGTTCTCTACCACTAGACTCACACCTCTATTTCTGGCTTTTTCATGGTTATTTGGAGATAAGAATCACTCAGATTTTAGTCTCTTTAGTAACTAAGATTATAGATGTGAGCCACAGATTCCTGGCACAATTTTACTTTTATGGTAAAAATAGTTAAAATATATTTAGAAAAATACATTTTAATCATACATTTGAACAATACCTAAGATACTTTGTTGAAACTTTAGAGTCCCAGAATAGTACCAAACATTGAGCTGGTGCCTTCTAAACTTTACACCTATTAATCATTTAATACTGAAAACCAGGATTAAAATAATGTCCCCTGCACATCAGGAGGATATACACAAACATTCCAGCAGAGGGTAGCAAAACTTCACTTAGCAGTGTTTTGTTTTTTTTTAAACAGCTTTTCTAGATTGCCTAAAAATACTTAAAAAGAGTCTCAAATTATTGTTCAGAAATGCTACACTATCAATAAGCATAATAATGAAATGAGAAAAAAGAGAAATATATATAATGAAGTGAGAGAGGCCTTTTCTGAATGACAGATGCAGTCTGCTGGGACACAGAGGTGGATCTGGCAACCGCATTGATCTTGGAGGAAACTGGAAGTGGTGGCAGTAATTCTGGATATGGTAGAACTTTGGTGGAGGAGAGGGGATGGTGATGAAGGTGGTGGCAGCAAAGGTAGTTCTGGCAGAGGTGACTGTGGCACCCATAGTGGTGTTTTAGTTATAGTAGTAGAAGAGGCTTTGGTGGACCATGTTATGGAAATGTGGTGGTGAATAGTGTTGCAGTTATGATGGAAGAAAATATATAGTTCCAATGAAGAAAGAACTTTGGGTGGTGGTGGGAGTTGTTGCCATTTTGAAAATTATAGTGAACAACAGCAATCAAATTGTGCTCTCATTAAAGGGGCAGTTTTGGTGGAAGACATTCTTGGCAGTCTATATGGTGGTGTTTATGGATCTGATGATGGATAGGTAGCAGAGTTTTTTAAATGATAGCAAAAGAACTATAGTTCTTGAGAGATCAAGAGTGGGAGAGTGAGGAGGTATTAGGAAAGCTGCAGGTTACTTTGGGATAGTTGTCCCAAATGCACTAAAAGAACTGTAAAATCTGCCACAGAAGGACAATTGTCAGGACAATTTTTGCTCAGGACTATCAGTGCTACAGTTTGCAAAAAGTGCAACCATTGAAGAATGCCTTGTCACAAAAAAAAATACAGTTAAAAAAAAAAGAGGGGCTGGCAAGGTGGCTCAGTGGTACAACACTTGCCTTGCATACATGAGGCCCTGGGTTCGATTCCTCAGCACTACATAAGCAAAAAGAAAAAAAAAGCCGTAAGTGGCACTGTGGCTCAAGTGGTAGAGCGTTAGCTTTGAGCTGAAGAGCTGAGGGACAGCACCTAGGCCCAGAGTTCAGGCCCCACGACCGGATCTCCCCCCCCAATTAGATGTACATTCCTGAGGTCTTTTATCTGTTATAGTGCTTCCTCTGTCTTTTTCTTCTCTTACATCAGGTATATTTCCCTGTAAATTGTAGTGGTGTCAAAAATAAAGAATTAAGTTTTAATTTTTCAATGTTTGTGCAGTTTAGGCTTTTATGTAAATTTTTTTAAATTTATGTTTGTTTTGATACTGGTGCTGAAACGCAGGGCTTCATGTTCTGGCTTGGCTTTTCCATTCAAGACTGGCACTTTACTGCTTAAGCCATACTCCACTTCCAGAGTCTTAAAAGTTTGCTTCTACCCAGGCTGGCTTCTAACTGTGATCCTGACTAACTAGGATTATAGGAATGAAACACTGGCATCCACGGGGCTGGGAAGGTGGCTCGGTGGTAGCGCGCTTGCCTTGTATGCCTGAGGCCCTGGGTTCGATTCCTCAGCACCACATAAGCAAAAAGAAAAAAGCCAGAAGTGGCGCTGTGGCTCAAGTGGTAGAG